TGGAGTGGCTAATTAGGATTATAAAACAATCAGATTAGCCTCATCTTCCTATCTGGAACATTATTTTTGCTTCTCAATCTAAAGGGAGTTAAATAAAAGGAACAAATCCTCAAAACACACTGCAGTTCTCGCCCCCATTTGGACATCATTATTCCATCCTGTGAACCCCTTTACAGCACTTTGTGCATATTTTAGTACTTATCACATTCTGCCTTGTTTCTTACTTGCCTCGGCAGCTTTCTAAGATGGGGTGATGTTCACTCTTCACCCTCTGTACCGTATACCAATGGAAGGCATACAGTACTTTTTGCATTGAACATCTAACAATGTCACGTTATCTAATAGAATGACTCAAAGATTTATTTTTCTTGGCACAGTATGATCTCACCACTTTCTTTTTGCTTAGGATAGAAAATAGCTTCAGTAAATGGGAATCCATTTTCCCAAAGTCTACATCCCAGGATGCTGTCTTTCTCTCTCTCCCTCCTGCTTCTCCTGGCAGTGCTCATGGTTGGGGTCCTGTTCTTTAACCTTTGGATGCCCAAGTTTGAGCCAGATAGAAAAGTTAGGCTAGGCCGAAAGTAACATCGAGGGAAGCTGAGTTTCTGGCTCCCTTTCTGAATGTGTAAGGAGGAGAGAGACCCAAACGAGGATCTAAGGATGAGGTTCTACTATTTAATTTTGATAATCTACAGAGTAACATTACATTCATTCATACAAATTACTGTGGCCTAATTTACATTTTCTACTGTAAACCTTACTAATCCTAGGACAAGGTCTCAGCAGCCATATTTCTCATCAGAAATAATGAGAACATGTTAAAAATAGTTCACTCTAGTCCTTCTGAGTTTGTAATAAGTATTTCATTTCATCCAAAGTACATCTGCTTATGTTCTATGCACATATTTGAAAGCTAAAATAAGGAACAAATCATTAAAAAGAACTTTTGTTTTAAGGAAGTGTTGTCCTAAAAATAGTTGCATAAAACATGCTTCTGATAGCTGGAGATGCAGATATTCTTGACTTCTGGGCTAAGTGGTGTTACCTCTGTTGATCCTGTGAAGGCCACTTTGTCTATGTCCATGTGAGAAGAGATGGCTGCTCCTGCAGTGGGCCCGTAACCAGGGACAATGTTCACTACTCCAGGAGGAAACCCTGCCTGAGAGGTAAAAAAGGAAAATTTACCTAAGTGATTTTATTCTTTATTATTATTATTGTTATTATAGTTATTATATATTATTAACAATATATTACAGTTACCATTAGCCCACATAAAAATAACCTCAAGCGTTGCATTACTGAAGGCCCATTTTTCCTCAAGGTAATGTTATAGGTTATGGCTCCAATGACGACTGTCTCAAATTTCATCATAGTAACTCACAAAGAAAGTACAATTGTTTGGTAAATTACTTACGTAGAAGGAAGGCAATGTGTTTATTATCCCCACCAGCAAAACTAAGAAGCTAAAGGGATCTCGCATTTTTAGTTTCTAGCTGCTGTCAATTGCTCAGGGAATAACAGCTGAGGTGAGAGTCCCTGTTGGCATTATTTAATCAGTAAAATGTTAAATAAGGATGGTTATCCCACTTATGATTGAACTTCAGGATTGATTTCAACCCCAGTTAAAGAATTCAGGCAGAAAGTGTGGGAACTGAGGAGGGAATATTAAAATTTCATGTTAATTGCATCAAAATATTTCGTTTTGACATCTCTTTTGCCTGTTTTTAATTTGAAATAAAGAATATTTTTAAGATATGAATTCAGATTTCCTAAATTGAATTTTCTAGTGAATGAAATTTGTTTAAGTTTTGGTAAGATATGAGGGAAAAGGACAATGAATTGTTTGCAACAGAAATATATTAACACAATATAGGTATTTGATGAAAATAAATTTCATGTGCTCTTTTGCCACTTTTGAACAGGAAGACAAATGCAGAGAAAATCATAATTGAAAAGTGAATATAAACATATCCACTTATGGGTAGATGTGTTTAGAAATAATGTGGCCTAATAGTACAAATAAGCATATTTGCACAGAGACCTCCAATCTTCACATAGCCTACAATAGTTTGAACAAATTTGCAGAAACTACCGGCCCATTAGTGACAGTGACAAACCAACTTAATATTTCAAAATTTGAAAGAATATCAATTTTAATATGAATTACATTCATGAGAGCTGAACAAAAGAAACAAAAACGTAATTTCAAAATGACTGACACCAAACCCTTGCATTGGACTTTCTGTCTGCATTTGGGCAGAGACTCCTTTGGGCTAACTGCCAGGAATCCCAGCCAGCAGCCATGCTAAATGCATCCCCACACTCGACAGGAGACTTTTGTAAATAATGTAGTTTACAGTAGCACCAAATGAAGTCCTCCTCTTGTAAATTAGGACTGGAGTTCTTGTGCATAGTTTGATTTAGGAGACTTACCTCTTTTATTAAGGATGCCACATGGAGCGCAGTGAGAGGAGTTTGCTCTGCTGGTTTGACAACTACTGTGTTTCCACAGCTCAGGGCAGGCCCTATCTTCCAAATAAGCATGACCAACGGGAAATTCCACTAGAAAGCAACATATAACAAGAGATTCTTTGTATTGCTGAAAAGCACATTTGCTAATCTAAGTTCACATGATAAACCCCCTGCAGATATTAAAAAGTAATTGTAGTACTTCTGTGTAATCATCTGGTGCATTCTAATTAACTTCATTGCTAAAAGCAACTAGTAAAGACTAAAATGCTCTAAATAAACTAGATATGGAAAGGGAGTAGGAGAGGGCTCCAAAATTCAATCAAGGGCTGTCAATTTGAGTGCTTTTACCAGGAAGATAAAAATCACTGCGTGGTTTGGCTCACCATTAAGCATATTATAAGTTATCTGTGTTTAAAAAGTATCAGTATTCCTCCCAACCCATAAGTGATTTACTATATTTATTTACCTAATTGTATCATTCGCAGCATTTATTTCTAGGACAAATATCTTGTTAAAGACAAACATATCCTGACTCCAGAAACTGAGCGTTTGGGTTCAAACCTCAGCTCAATCACTACCAGCCATGTGAAGCCACACAAGTTACTTGCTCTGTGTGTACAACTGCATCATCTTTAAGTGATGATAATGGTCCTCCCTACCTCAGAAGGTTGTCCTGAGGATTAATCAAGAAAGTGGGCCAAGAGCTTAACACAGTGACTGGTTCATCACAGGCACACAGTATATATTAGCTGTTCTTAGTATTTCAAGTTATGTAGTTTTCATAGATTTTATTGGGATTTTTGAATTAATGAGGAATTTCATTAAAATTGTTGATATGGATACATTTCAATCTCATTGGAGTGAAAAATAAATAATAGCCACTTCTTCATCTACAAACTAAAGGATGCTTGACCGTCTTTTTATTTGGCTTTTTCAAGTATATCAGCTAAAGTAACATCATTTAGATAGTTTTCCTGTTTGCTGAGCTTAAATCTTCATGGTTCTGCTTAAAAATACTACCTTCTCTGCGAAGAATTTGGAATATCAGAATCTCTTATCTTAAGGCACAATATATTCCATGCAGTGCTCTAATTGCCTCTGGCATTGTTTCTTCCAATTTAATTTAAAAATATCTTCCAGGATTAGAACACTCTGGTTGGTACTATTCTCTGTAATGAGAAGCCTCAATGAAGAGATAAAAAGTGTCAGAGACTAGTAGATCCTACATTTCACTAAAATGGTGATCCACCGCAGATGTGACAATGAGCACTTTGCCATACATATGTAAATCATGGCTCTTAAAAAGAGGACGTTATACTTTTTAAAAATAACCTACTGAGTAACAGGTTAAGATCTGTTGATACTGTAGTATTGAAATGCTCTCAAAAGATATGATAGGATATAGATAGGTTTTTGGACTACCTCATTCATATCTAAGACATTTAGTCTCAGGGAGACCAGTTTCGACAAATCTTACATTTACTCCACATTTAACAAATATGTAAGAATCCATTTGTGTTGGAGAAAGCTTAATCACCAAAGCTAATAGTATTAGAACTCTTTTTTCTTAAATTGAGAATTATATAGGAGAATAACTTACGGGAATAATTTGTCCACAAACGCCAATAGGTTCATGTCTTGTATAAGTAAAAAAGTCTCCATCTGGAAAATGAAACACACACACAATCATATATGGACAAGTGTTTTTGACATTTACAGAATGGTGGTTTAGGGCCTTTGTGAGAGAATGGTGTACACAATAATTAAAAAATAAAACATATCTCCAACTGTTCACAAAATGAAAATGGAGCCCTCAAACCATAAATTGGAATAACAAGAACCACAAAGTTGAGTTAGGTAAAAGCAAAGATGCAAAATTGGGAAAGATCTGAAAGACAACTCTACCTTTTCTCATCTAACAGGGGTGATTTCTAAATCATCCTTCTCAAAGTTTTATAAAAAAAAGAATGAGAAAGGAAGTAGGAGGTCTCCAGCTAAGAGAACCACATTCAGATATGGTTTTGTAAGCTCAAAGTTCTATCAGTAATAGTAACATTTTATTTTTAAAAGTAATACAATTTAAAAAATAGTAAAATTAAAAAAGAGGAGAATTTTAAAAATCTCCCTATAATTAATAATCCTTTCCTATTTGTTCTAAAATGTTTTTTTCTATTTGTCTACCAAACACTAAAAGCAAATTGTCTTAATCCATTAAAAAAAAAAAAATTGCCAGAAGTAAAAGACATTTCTTTTCAATCTAGACTTGATTGATTCATGTGCTTCAAAGTTTGATATGGTCATTCTGAGAGTTACATTGCGTTTTGTGCTCAGTTCTGTTTTGGTTCCCACAAAAGCCTCCTGGCTTTAGCAAGAACTCTCTTTATTGAGACCTATTTATGCTTTAAATGGCTTCTACCATTTTGTCTCAGAATAAAGTGAGACAGTCATTAGAATAGTCCACATTTCTTCACACCACCATGGTTTCACTCTCCTCTTTTCACTTCCTGGTTACCACTTCTGACCTATCAGATGTTCCAAGCAGATTGGAAATGCACATCAGGGCCAGTTCTGGAGGGTGTTGTATTCCTCAAGTCAATATGCTTACATGAATTAAATTCTACCAATAGTGTTTCCCACAGTGATGCGTTTTCATATTTCATATAAAGTGTTTTTCGTATTTCTACCCAATTGTGTACATACTCCACTACACACATACATGTTCACCCACACAAATCCTTAACCCAGGCTATAAACATAATTCCTTCTTGCTTTGAAGCTGTTTGAAACAAATCAATGTGAATTAGTTTGTTTAATTAGTCTGGTCTCACTGTAGTGAGTTTGACCAGGCACAGATGATCATAACTGACTCATCCTGGACATGCAAAGAGATGTAAATAATTACATTGTAGAAAGGGTAAAAATGTCATTATTGTAATAAAACCCAAATAAATAATTTCAAAGGCTAGCTTTAAAAAGTTTGGCCCCTCAAAGAGACAATTGTCTTCAATCAGAAATTGCAGCCATAAGAATGTTCTCACTTTAATATTTTCTAAAATATCCATAGTGTTATCTTCTGTGTGATAAATGCTCAAACAGTGTAAAATCCATTTGATGAATCTTAATACAACTTCCAGGTTCAGAGCTGTGGTGTCTCAAAGTCTAAGGGAAAATACTTTTGCCTTACTTGGTTGACATCTTTAAAAAGGAGAGTCTAAAATTATTCAGCTCTCTAGTAATCTCCTCCCCACTACTCCCACCCCTACTGGTTTCCTGAAGCTACTCACCAGCTGGTATGGTACGGCCCTGGATCTTGTCAGCCCAGCCTGCACAGTAGCGTAATGTTTTTATGCAGCCTCCTAAATCCATCAGATACGCATTGGCAAATAGTTTTCCACCATTCATTGCCTCCATTGTCTGAAAAACAGATCAAACCCCAAATCTAAAATTCCATAAAAATTTTACATTGAAAAAAATATATAGCCAGTATTTTGAATAATCATGTGCTAGAGAATTTTGGAAATAGAAGAAATCTTAAGTCATCTTGTCTAACTTCCTCTTTTTAAAAAGGAGACTAAAAAAAAGAATTAAAATGACTTTCTTGAGGTCACATAACAAGATCTGGGTACAAAGGGTTGTGAGATTTTGGTTTCTAAAGCCTAGTGCTTTTTAATCTCATTTTGAATGTCCTCCAGCTAACAAACTTTCTAGGAATCAGTCACAATTTGATATATACACAGCAGGTGAGAATGGTACCCAGTTTTAGTCAGATCAGAGTTTCGACAAGATTTCACTTACTGTGTAATCCAACCCTGTGTGACAATTTAGTGTCAGTGACTATTAATGATGCCTCAATAATCACTTTTAATTTTTGCATTCTATTTGGATATAGGCAATCTATTCATACAAACTTAAGTAACACCTGGATTTTTCATTCATAATTTTCCTCAGAATCTTTAATGATGAAACTCCCAGTTTTGCCATTATTATCATAATTACCATTTGAATGGTCAGGCTATAAAGTTTAACATTTTCTAGTCTAGTGCCCTAACCATTATAGGATGACCTATCTCCTCTTTTTCTTCTCTTCATAAGCAGAACTTTAAAGAGCTCTGGGATATATAGTTCTGCTGGGGTGATTACCTGGAAGGAATATCCAGGTGTTAAACTGTTAAAGCTGTCCTGTCTCCGTATTAAACTGTCTACCATCTCAAAATTTAATCTAACATGATTTTTCTATGACTGTATTTTTTTCCCCATAGGACCTTATGCTGACAGGCAGTCAACAGATCAGATAAATGAGAAAAGCCAAGTTTCAGCAAATTCTGCTTTCTTCCTATAGGACATTTTGGTTAATATAGGTTTATTGCACATAGTTTCTGGTTCCATATTTTTGCATATTTTGAATTATGCTGAATCATCAATTGAGTAATAAATAGTTCTTTGAGTAACTATAATTGCTAATGTTGATTTTTTTTTTTTAAAGCAGCCTTCTTTGTAATTGCCACTTTAAGATTCTAAAGGTAATAAAAATTTTCTATGGAACTTGATCTTGGTATTGGTTTGTGTTAAACTGGTTTCATTATAATGCCCAACTGAGAAGACAAAAAACAAGGAAATACCCTCCCCAAGGATATTATGTGCTGACTCTTCTAATTGCTAAAATATAAAGAAAGAAACATAATTTTTATAAACACATCAATGATTAGCTTTTTTTCTTTAACTTTTGTCCTTTTCACCCACAAAAAAAAAAAAAAAAAAAAAACTTCATTTAATTATGACCCTTCTGAACAGACATTTCAGGAAGGGAAAATGTAGCCATTTATTAAATATCTTGGTGGGTTTAACTAAAGAAAAATAAGATTTATTTTAGAGAAATATTTTGGGCACCTTTAACAAATGATGAGTTTTTCACCTAAAAGGGTTCAGTGGTCAAGTACTTTAAGAAACCCAGTACATCATTCCAGGAGATTCATGCTACACGTGACTTTGTTAAAGGCTTTGAGAAGTTCTAAGGTAAAGGAAAGAAATTAATTTGGCTTAACTTGGGGTTTGCCAACATTTAGACTGTAGACTCTATTATGGGAGCAGAAATTAACATCATTCAGAACTGGAGTACAGATTAATATTTGAGAAAAAACTCAATGGTAAGCTAGATGTGGAGGCTCACGCCTATAATCCTAGCACTCTGGGAGGCAGAGGCGGGAAGGTCACTGGAGCTCAGAAGTTCCAGACCAGCCTGAGAAAGAACAGAGACCTGTCTCTACAAAACATAGAAAATAACTAGCCAGGTATGGTGGTGCTTGCCTGCAGTCCCAGCTACTTGGGAGGCTGAGGCAGAAGGATTGCTTGAGCCCAGGAGTTTGAGGTTGCAGTGAGCTATGATGACACCAGTGCATGCTACCCAGGGTAGCAGAGCAAGATTGTCTTAAAAAAAAAAAAAAAAACTCAATTGTAAGTGTCCTGTGTAAGAGCTGTGAGATAAAGTCTTTCCCTTTTATTAGTAGAGAGCACATGATCATCATTGAAACTTAAACAACTTGCCAAGTTAAGCAATAAGTGCTTTTGAGAGCTCTATCTACCTATCCAGTTTGGTTAATACTCACTGCCAGCAAGAGACGATCTCTTTCAATTAAATCAGCCAATTTGTATAATAGTCGCCCCCGCTCTGAAGCATCCATAGTACGCCATGGAGAGCCGATCTGAAAAGCCTGTCTTGCGGCCTTCACTGCTTTTTCAACATCCTCCTGTAAGTCAAAGAAAATTTAATTTAGTAGGCTGAACATACTGGATTAGCAAATCCAATGGCAATAACTCAAATAGACTGAAGCTCCTTATAAACAGGCTCTGTGTATCCAATAGCCTAACGTCTAGCATATTGTGCACACTTCGCTACACCATATTGGAGTTACACTTGCTGAATAATCTTTAGAATGACAAGATCCACACATCTCTCATATGCTTGATTTCCTGGAATATAAATATTACAGTAATAGTTGCTATCATTTGCATGCTTGCCATATCTCAAGCAATGTTCTAATAACTTTACACATATTAACTTGTTTAATTCTCAGTCATTATATGGGACAAACATGTTCCTCATTTTACGGATGAAGAAACTACAGCAAAGAGAGAGGAGCTTTGCCCAAGGTCAATAACTAAAAGTGGCTGAACTGAGTTTATTTATTTTAGACATGAAAGCTTTATTTTATCATCAAAATATACTTTAAGGTAGTTAAAAAACATGACTCTTGAAGAAATAAACTCATGCCACAGATCTTATTTAATTCATTAATTTTTGAGGGAAAATTAAGATTGTAAAGGCGGGAAAAATCATATTGAGAAGCTGTCTCTATCTGCAGACATTTTGAAGA